TTTGACACATACCCATGAATTGATTTGTCTATAGCAGGCTCCCCCACTTGGCTCAAAGTCATAGATTAAAACACTCCATAATTCCCAATACCCATACCCTATTACTGTCATAATACCATAGTTAGTGCCACAAAATTCTTCTCAAGCTCATGCAATGCCAACCATAAAAATACCCCAAATCATCCGCTAAGATCACAATCATTCTCTTGATAATCTAGTCGACTTTCTCAGCCAAATTCGAATTCAAATCTCCACACATATGCCCCACTGGCAGAAAAGAAACCCTCCACTCATATTACAAGGAACACACCTACGTAGGTTACTCTCCAGGAGATAACCCACCTCCCTAGCCTCAAATTGGCATCTTGTTATATCTTTTCGCAGCCACAATTTCCACGCAATCACTAAATCTTTCTGAGTCCAAACTCATTAACCAGACTTGAGAGTTTAATTTGTCCTAGAATTTAAACACGTGAAAGATCTTTCAAAACATTCACACTCGAGACTGTACGTCACATCAAATCAAAAATCAAGCATCCAATGGCCTCCTTTACATATGAAGAAAACACTTCTCGTTATGTTCAAATCGCCTTAACACATCCCGCGGTCACATCATACTGCCATTTCACCACTCATCGAGCCACAAATTTCACTGTAGGGTCATCACCGGACATATGAGTCCAATTGTACAAATTACAACTAAAGCTACCGAGCTTAAGCTGCAATCTAAACTTGGCCTCAAGTCCCCCAGACTTGCCCATCACCAAAATATAGAATACTCATCTCGAACTTCATTCATGGAATCACAAGCCAGCGATGCACAGCTGATACTGAGCGCTCATGTGCGCATACGAATACGTGGAAGGAATTCAAAGAGTTTATGTCTCAAGTTGAATCAATCTCGCACGGTAAGGAAAGAAAAATAGGAAGTATATATCCTAAATGCCCTATAGCCTCTCGAAGATAAGTATGGACGTCATCATACCGATCCGCACGACTTTACTAGACACTTGCTCATGACTTGTAGAACCTATGAACCTAGAGCTCTGATACCAACTTGTCACGACCCAAAATCCAACTAGTCGCGATGGCACCTAACCTAACCCGCTAGATAAGCCAACTTTCAATTATCCAATTCCAATAATAGTTATTAAAGCAATTTAAGTGAATAAAGATCTTAATCTTATACAATCCCCAAGAACTGGTAGTACAAATCATGAGCTTCTAAGAATAGAGTATACAAAGCGAAAATGAAATAAATACATAGTTTGTTTGAATAATACATAAACAAAGCTTTTATAAATCTAAGGCTACCCTGAACAAGAGGCAGCTACAACAGGAACACAGGTACTTCTTCAAATCTCGGAACCATCGAGCATAACAATAACAGTAGCCAACATGTGCACGAAATGTGCAGAAGTGTAGTATCAATACAACCGACCCCATGTACTGAGTAAGTAACAAACCTAGCCATAGGTGGAAAGTAGTGACGAGCTTCCACCAAGGTCGGGTCCAAAACCAATAGTCCACAACAATCCATAACAACATAAAGCAAATAATACCAGAAGTAACTCAGGGATAAAATACTCAGCCAAATAATGATTTCAAAAGTAGTAGTTCTTTCTTTCAAATACATCAGTGAAAACCCAAATCGTTTACCGAAGTTGCCAATAATATGAATAGTTTGAAAACAATAAATTTCTCCAAAAATCTTTTCAATAATAAATAATATGTTTCATTTTCCTTCCGGATAACCCATGTAAAATAAATGCATCAATATTCCCATATGTCAAAATGTGTGAGAAATCATGAATGATGTGATATTGTACAGCATGAGGAAAAATACATCTCTATACCTGTATATCATGTGTGCATGCCAATGCGATGCAACTCAGTGATAAAATCATAAACAGCCCCTCGGGCAGAACACCACTCATATACAGCCCCTCGGGCAAACCTTACAGTCACTCGTGCCACTCGGGCATACCTCACAATAACTCTTGCCACTCGGGCATACCTCACAATCACTCATGCCTCCCAGTCACTCAGCACCCGCACTCAGTAGGTACCTGCGCTCACTAGGGGTATGTACACACTCCGGAGGGGCTCCTACAGCCCAAGCATTATAATCTGCACGGAAAACTCACGGGCTGCACGGACAACTCACGTGCTATAATATCATATCAGAATCCGCACGAACAACTCACGTACCATAATAAGCTAATAAGGCCTGCTGCAGGCGGGCAACCCCGATCCATATATTAGTAATAATATATATAAAGCCAACAAGGCATGCTGCAACGTGCAGCCCAATCCCAAAATATCCTCACAATCAGGCCCTCGGCCTCCCTCAGTCATCATTCTCTCTAGTCTCTCTCTCATGGGCTCACAATGTCATGAGAATAGCTCAAAAATGATGATATGATACATCAATAAATAACAACAGAGAGTGAGATATGATATGCAATGAAATGAATATGACTGAGTATGAATTTTTAATTTAAACAAACAATTCACAGCAATATGACCTCTGTGGGTCCCAATAATACTGGCACATAGCCTCAACATGATTTTTAATATGCTTTTCAGCTCAATTTCTTTAACTCATAAAACGCATGGAAAATGCCAAGATCATTTAACTACAAAATTTTACAGAAATAATTATGTCACAATTTCTATAGTGCATGCCCACACGCCAGTCACCTAACATGTGTGTCACCTCCCAACAATTCACGAAATACTTATATTCAGGGTTCATACCCTCAACTCCAAGATTAGAAGAGTTACTTACCTCGAACAAGCCAAATCCAATGCCGAGCAAGCTAAACAATGCTCCAGAAATCCCATTATGCGCGTATCAACTCCCGAATGGTTCGAATCTACCACAATTAATTTGATTCAGTCCATATAATTTATAAGAATTAATTCCATATCAAAATACTAATATTTTCCAAAAATCTGAAATTGCGCTCCAAAAATCACCTATGGGGCCCACATTTCGAAATCTGACGAAACTCACAAAATACGACAACCCATCCAATTACAAGTTCAACCATACTAATTTCACTCAAATCCGACTCCAAATCGGTATTCAAACTTGAAAAATTCATTTTGTGACATTATAAATATTTTCTTCTATTTCTCTTGAAGATTCAATAATCTTACACCAAAAATGAAGATTAATTCATGGAATATAATCACAAGGGAGTTAAGAACACTTAACCCAAGTTGTGTGGAAAATTTTCTCTCCAAAATCGCCCAACCAAAGCTCCAAAATCTGAAAAATGGGTGAAAATGTCGAGCCCTCGAATTTAAGGTTCTGCCCCAGCGATTTCTGCATCTGCGGACAAAATTTGCGCACCTGCGCCTCCGCTTGTGTGAGCAAAACGTCGCATTTGCGGACTCCACTCACCTGCCCAGTTTTCGCTTCTACGCAAATCCCTCCGCATATGCGCTAACGCAGGTGCCGAATATTCCCTCGCACCTGCGATCAATGCCTCACAGCCCTCTGCCCGCATCTGCGCTCCTTCTCGCGCAGGTGCGATTGCGCAACTGCGAAGCTCCTTCCGCACCTGTGCGCCTCGCTTCAGCGCACCCCTGCTCGCACTTCCGAGCTCGCACCAGAAGGCTTCAGTTCCAGCAGTCTTCCAAATTCAAAAATCAATCTATTAACCATCCGAAACTCACCCGAGGCCCCCGTGACCTCAACCAACTATATCAACAAGTCCCATAACATAACACGCACCTACTCAAGGCCTCAAATCATACCTAACAACCTCAAAAATACAAACTACACACGGATTCAAGCCTAATAAATTTTCAAATTTCTAAATTCTACAAACGACGCCGAAACCTATCAAATCACGTGCGATTGACCTTAAATTTTACACACAGGTCATATTTCACATTACGGACCTATTCAAATTTCCAGAATCAGATTTCGACCTCGATATCAAAAAGTCAACCTCCCGGTCAAACTTCCCAAAAGTTCATCTTTCGGTATTTCAAGCCTAATTCCACTACGGACCTCCAAATAATTTTTCCGGACACGCTCCTAAGTCCAAAATCACCATATAGAGCTATTGGAATCATCAAAATTAAATTCCGAGGTCGTTTACACATAAATCAATATCCGGTCACTATTTTAACTTAAGCTTTAAACATTGGAACTAAGTATTCCAATTCATTCCAAAACCTCACCGGACCCGAACTAATTGCCCCGGCAATTCACACAATAATTGTAAAGTACAATTTGAGCAGTAAATGGAGAAACGTGGTTGTAATACTCAAAACGACCGGCTGGGTCGTTACACATTGACTTGCTCGGATTTCAGGTATTTAGAGGAGACTTGAGGTATAACTGCACAGCGTCCGCAGTTCTGAAGTCTCCATCTACTTAATTTTAGCTGTGTGTTTATTTTCGGAAAGCTTTATTTTATTCAAACCTTTATTTGTATTATTCTAGAAACTCGTGTACTTGTGACACCAAATTCTGAGATGGTATTTAGACACCGTATTTTTATGGATTATTCACTACATTTTAGACTTTACTTCCGCATTGGTTCCTTTGTTGTTAATTATTTAAAATTATTTTAAAATGGCTAATATTATTCTAATGTTGGCTTGCCTAGTAAGTGAAATGTTACGCGCCATCACGGTCCCGAAGGTGGGAATTTCGGGTCGTGACATTCAGTCTAAACAAGCTGAAGTTTTTTAGTTTATTTGCTAAAACGTCAGCCTAAACATGCTTAAATTTTTGTCCTGTAGTTTGTCAATAGTCTTTTATTAAAGAAAGGTAAAAATCGTCTTTTTAAAACGCTTTTAATAAAAAAATGGGTACGAATGCAAACGAAAAAATAAAACAGGTATAAGTTAAACAGAGGCGACCAAATAGGGCTCCCATGCAATATTTGCATAATAGATACTACTAAACAGTCCAAAACATTAAGCCTAATAGTCGTTTTGTTTTACCCTTTCACAATAAAAGTCCAAATAGACGTTATGTTTCCTCTTACCTCACGTTCTGAGCAACTCTTCCTTCAAAGGTCAGAGCTTCATCCAAGGTAAAATTTCCAACCTTTCTTCAGTTCATGGCATGGTATAGCCGTTTGATTTTTCCAACTATCTTCTCCTAATAATTCTCCATTCATCCTCATAATTTCTAATTATAATGATATTTAATGTGTATTAATTTCTAATTATTAAATTGATTATTAATCTTGTGCCTATTGATACTCTATTTTGATGGACTATATATAGATGATGATGAATGTTGTTCATACTGTAACTTGCTTGCTTTCTCTTGTTTTTCATTATTTTCTTAGAATGACATACTCTTTTCTTTCAGAGTTGGGTCTTTAGAGGGATGATTGGTTGATAAAGGTTAGAATTTGTAGAATGTGGGATTCTTTTAATCCCAAGAAAAATGGAGAGTTAATTGGCTTGGATATGATATTTATTGACGAAAAGGTACCTATATGATTCTTAATATTTTATATGTATATTCTCTTTGTAGCTTTTAATCTCAAAATACTTACCTCTTTTCTTTTATCAAAAAAATTTGATGCATGCTACAATCAACAAGAAACTATATAATAAGTTTAAGGATATAATTGACTGGAGGTTCTTTGTCTGTTATCAAGAACTTCAAAGTTATTGAAAGAAGTGGTGGATAGGCCTATGGAAAGTAATTTTAAAATTAATTTCTTACTTAAAACTACTGTCAAGAGTCTAGAGGAAGATATTGTTAGTATTCCTGTAAATGGATTTTAGTTTATCACATCAGATATGATTGACTCAAGGGTGAAAATAACAGTGTTATCAGGTATATTTGTTATAATTTTTTGCTATCGTTTTTTTTTTAAAATATCCATGTAATTCTGAAATAACTACTTTATGCTCTTCATGTGTAGATGTGGTGGGTTGTTTGTGCGGAGTTGGAGATATGGAGACTGCTGGATCGAGGTGGGAAAAAAGGAACATTTAAATTGTTACTGATTAGTGAGTTGCTTTTCATTTTATGTTCCTTTAATTTGTAAATCCACCAAAACTTTCATTTCCTATTATGTTTCAATGCCTTTTCCTCAATCCATCTTTCTGTTGTAGTTCTGTCAATGCAAAAATTACTTTATGGGAAGAATTTGGTGAGAAATTCGATCCTTATTTGTACAAAAAGGATTCTGGCCCGTACATCGTGATAGTAACCGCTACAACAGTTATAGAATTCCGTGATAATTATTTTAGATTTAATGATTAAAGTTATATATTCTATTACTTTGAATATTAGAATAAAACTATTCATTATTCTATTCATTGTCAATAGGTGAGGTTAGCTTTGCCACCAGATACGTAAGCAAAATATATGTATATCTCAATGTGGACTACATAACTTTTTTGATCCAAAAGTTTGCAACCGTGTCTGCTGGAGTATAAACTATTGAACACTCTAATGTTAATAGCATTACGATTGAGGAAGAGATGTTTTTGAACCAGATGACCATCAAAGAGTTGTTGGATTGTGACTGGAGTCCTGAATTAGAGGTTCTTTCCCTATTTTGCTTCTTGAGTTTTCCGTTTCTCAAAATTGCAAGATGCTTCTAATACCTAATTTTTTAAATGGTAGGAGTACATTGTTACCATGAGGGAAGAGATTACAAAAATAGACAACTATTTTGGTTGGTACTATATTTCATACAATGCGTGCTCAAAGAAGATCGAACCTGCAAATGGTGTCTATAATTGCCATTTGCAACAAAAAATGCAAGTTTCCTTTGGTGAAGTAAGGAACCAATATGTAATAGAATTTGATTCATGTTGCTACTTAAACTAACTTATTATGTAAAACAAGGTATAAGATACACCTAAAAGTCAAAGACAAAAATTGGGGAGAGCAGTGTTATCCTATTTAATGTTGTTGCAGAGAAACTACTTGATAAATCAGCTCATAAGTTGTTAAACAGGTTGTCATCTGATAACAATGATGTACCTACCCAAATTCAAAGCCTTTGCAAAAAAGAATTTATTTTCAAGCTAAAATTAAACAATTGTAATTTGCAAGAGGGGTTTGAAATTTTTACCGTATCAAAGATTTTCGTTCCAGTGGAGAAGGTATTGTATATATGAAACTTTTAATCCATAATTATATTGGACTTATATATATCTATAAATAAGCTTTATTTTTGTTATTTTTGCGTGGAAAAAGTTTATTGGGGGATGAAAATGAACCAAAGGAGCAGAAGACAAAAAGATTAATAAAAAAAAAAAAGGTAAGCTGATTTACAATTTATTAGGTATGTGAATAAACTATCTTTTTCAGATGTAAAATTGGACATGTTTAATATATATGTGAACTTTTCTTTTTCAAAACCAAACAGGCTGCTGATGTCTCATTCGATAACTTGGAAGACTCTGATGAAGACCAACATGTCAATGATGGTGTTAACAGTAGAAAGAGAAGAAACATAATCATAGACAACGATGAATTTAGTGATGAAGACACCAATAAATGCAAATAGTAGAGTCTTTAGCATGTCCTGTCATTTTCATGGTCTGACGTTACATATTCATCAATGACTCATTTATTATCATTTAAGCGGGGTTTGATCTTAGGATCTTGTTTCCTTAGGTATAGCTATAAATAGCAGGCTCAGTAGCCATTGTAAGATATGAAATTTTTGGCAAAAATTATGATGTATTCCATTCTCACTCTCAATTAAACAACTTTATTTGCTCTTTTATATTGCTCTCATTTCTGTCCTCGGAGACATTGCTCTCGGAACTAGACTTGTCGTCTTCTTCAATTTCAGTTGGTAAATCTTATTTTTAATCTCATTGATTTACTATTTTTGGATCAAATCAATTCGCTTGTCTATAAACTACGTAACAAATTCAACTGATTTTTGGGTAAACAATCAATATGCCAAACTTTATAATTTCATAGGCGGATTTTTACAACTTTAGTCGCGTATGTCTGAAATTAATGCTGAAATTACTAAAAACTTCGACTATGCCTTGAACTTCATATATGACACGTATTATGGTTATACTTTGCCTCATGTTTCAGCTTCTTATATGAACAACTTTACACTTTTCTTAGCGATTACTTATGTAAAGGGAAATATCGAAATCGTAAATAATTTAATTAAAGAAAAACAAAATAAAATTTTATAGTACAAAGAGACTACTACCAAAACTGGAGTTTGTTTGTAGCTTTTTATAAGTGAATTAGTGGATTTATCCGTGCTTCGCGTGGTCTTTAGAAACATCAATATATTTAGAAAAAAAATAGTAAATACTTATAAATGACTTGCATTTCGGTTAGTTTATAATCTTGGTTTATTTATACCAAATACTTATATGTGATGTATAGTACTATATATTACCAATATAAATTAAGTTTTATCTAACCAAAAAGTTCAGTAATAAAAACTAAAACTAAGTTGGAAGTTGGAACTACGCAAAGTTCATCTTTTTTTGGTAATTACAATAATTTTATTACCAGTTAAGAATATGTAAAGCTTAAGAGGAAAAGGAAGAAAAAAAAACACCTCTAAAACTGGCAACACCCAGATTTTAGAGCCAAACAAAAGAACATCTATACCACCATCATCCCTAGAACACTAATTTTGGCTTTGAAGTACCTCTGAATATGTGATGACCCAAAAGGTTATCTTTAAATTTAATAATTATTTCTGTATTCTGAGATCTCAAATAGCACTATTCATCATTTCTCGACTTATGTGCGCAGTCCGTATAATTTTTCGAAAAGTTTTTATATGAAAAATTGATTAAAATGTAAAACATAGCCTTAAAACTCAACTGAGTTGTCTTTGGTCAACATTTTGAGCAAACGACCCGAATTAGTATTTTAACAGTTTTGGTAGATCCGTATTGTGATTTGGGACTTGGGCGTATGCTCGGAATTTAATTTGGATGTCCCTAACTCAAGTTATGGCCATTTAACGGAAACTAAAAATTTAAAGGCTAAAGATTTCCAAAGTTTGACCACGGATTTGACTTTTTGATATTGGGGTCGGAATCTAATTTTGGAAGTTGAAATAGCTCTGTTATATCATTTATGACTTGTGTGCCAAATTTGAAGTCATTCCGGATTCGTTTAATATATTTTGGCACGGGTTTTGCAAATTGAAATGTTTGAAACTCAAAAGTTCGAATTGAGGTGTGAATTGTAAATTCGATGTTGTGTGATGTGATTTGAGATCGCGAGTAAGTCCGTGTTATGTTACGGGACCGGTTGGTATAATTGGACGAGGTCCCGAGTGGCTCGGGTGAGTTTCGGACACGTTTCGAATCATTTTTGTAAATATATGCAGGTCTGGTTCTGGTGTTTCGCACCTGCGAAGAAGGAGCCGCAGGTGCGCAGCCGCTTCTGCGAGAAGCTGGTCGCTTCTGTGACCTGGGCACTGTCCAGCTCCTTCGTTCTGCGAAGAAATGAAGCGCAGATGCGCGACCGCTTCTACGAAGGTCCATGCGCTTCTGCGGAAGTGGCCGCTTCTGCGGTCATTTCGTCGCTTCTGCGATGTCGCAGGTACGACACTCCTTGCGCAGGTGCGGCCACTCGCCTGGCAGCTTGGCTTCGTAAATGCGGCCCTTGTCTCGCAAATGCGAGGCCGCATATGCGATATTTTTGCTCGCAGATGCGAGATTGGGCAGAACCTTAAGGGGTCGAAAATCGCCATTTTTCTTCATTTCGTTTGGGCTTTAAAACCTTGGTTTTTAGGCGATTTGAAGGAGTTTTTTACGACTTTGAATTAGGTAAGTGTTCTATAACTAAAAGTGATTATATTTCATAAATCCATGTCTATATTCATCCTTTATTTCGGATTTAGATGGAAGAAATTGAAATTTTTATAAAACTTTTCAAAAATGAAAATTTAAGATTTGAAGGTCTTTTTGACATCCGAATTTGATAATTTTTGTATGGTTGGACTCGTCTCAGAACGGGTGTTCGAATTTCGTAATTTTTTCCGAGATTCGAGACGTGGGCCCCACTGATAATTTTTTAGATGAATTTCGGATTTTAACCCGGAAAATTTATAAATTTATATAGAATTAATTCCTACGATTTGTATTGTGTATATTGAATTATTTATGACTAGATTTGAGGATTTCAGACACGAATTCGCGAGGCAAAGGTTTATTGGATTCTTCAATTTGGTTGCAAAGCGGGGTAAGTGTCGTCTTTAATCATGACTTGAGGGAGTAAGACTTATTTGTCTATTTGCTACGTGCTTTAATATGCGGGTACAATGTATATGTGAGGTGACGAGTACTTATGTGTTGTGGTTGAGTCAAAGCATGCGGGTGGAATTTGTTTATTGTGAATATTTGTCTATTTAATTAAGATATTCATGCTTAAGTTTATTATTGATTAGTTGATCATTATTCGTGAAATTATTATTCATTTAATTATTGTTGAATATTTTGGAAGGTGAAGTCGGTATTCTGGTATTGAATTGATTGATAAGTGTATATCCCCGCATTTAAATACTCTTCCGAATTTATATTATTATTTTCATAGTAAGGAAGAGTGTAAAAGCATAAAGGGTGATGCCGTGCCATTTTTATTATTTATAATATCATTGTCATGGTAAGGAAGAGTGTAAAAGCATAAAGGGTGATGCCGTGCCATTTTTATTATTTATAATATCATTGTCATGGTAAGGAAGAGTGTAAAAACATGAAGGGTGTTGTCGTGCTATTTGTGAGTGTAAAAGCATGAAGGATAATGCCGTGTCATTTTCAGATAGTGTAAAAGCACGAAAGGTGATGCCGTGCCAAATGAGAGTAAAAGCACGAAGGGTGGTGCCGTGCCATTTTCATATCACCAGTTGCTCATTATATTGTTGAGGAATTATTTGGCTGCTAAGTGATAATTTTCCTGCTGAAATTATTATATCAACCCCTTTCGCATGTTCCCTCCCAAATTTATAAAGTGTTATTTATTATTTTATTGTTGCTTCGTATTTGTATATACTTGTACAGGTTGTTTACGTACGTGTTTTATCATAGCCTCGTCACTACTTCGTCGAGGTTAGGCTCGATACTTACGGAGTACATGGGGTCGGTTGTACTCATACTATACTCTGCACTTCTTGTGCAGATTTTAGAGTTGGTCCTAGTAGCGTACCATAGACGTGCTTGGATTCAGCTACTCAGAGGAGACTTGA